CTACCACATTCCTATTTTGTAATGAAATCTGTCCGCCACAACTACTTTTTTTCTTCTTCTTTGCTCAACTCACAATTGCAATCATGTGGACCTTAAATTTGGAGGCTGATTTGGGCTATAATAAAGATTAAGCCCAACGAAGCAAATTAATGGATAATCTCCAACTTAATGCTAACAAATTAATGACTAATCTTCAAAAAAAATTTGATAGACCTCGTATTGAACCGACATCTTTTAATTAAACACTTCAACCAAAAATAGTTTACCGATCAAGAACTTAAAGTTATCATGCCCTCAATTCCCTCACCACATGTTGGAGAGCCAAGCAAAGGTATAATTGTCGTTTCAAGTAATTAATCATTTGCTAGTGGTTTGTATTATTTGTTTCTTTTACATACCACCCAAGCCATCCAAGTGCACCCCCATGGAAAACCCACGTGGAAAGTAATGAGGCAACTATGTATTTCCACCCCATTTTTCCTCTCATGGTCGGGTATAGACCAAACTTGTAACAAGCTGAGTCACCCTAGTTGACCACCCATGGAGAGTTTCTCCAAAGACATGCACGTAGCAAAGGAAGTGATGGAAAATGAAGTTTCTCTAAGCAAGCCATCTCATATTTTATCAATACGTGCCAAGGGAAGAATTGTTGGTTGAATTACATTTAGTTTCTTTGCTTGACAAACATAAATAAGGCCCTCCAATCTTTCCCTGTAGACACGTGGACATGAGATGGACGATTACTTGATTAATCATCTAGTTACTATATGTCAAACAACCCATTTTCATTACACGTGGGTGGAAATAGAGGATATGGGAATTTACCACTAAGCTTTAGCTATGCATCAACAAAATTTGTCTTGGAATTTAATAAAAAATTCATCAAAAAATTGTTTTCAAAAGTATTAACGAACTATAATGGACACAGTACATAAAAGGCAACAACTATGCCCTCTGAGTAATTTTTTTTTTAGAAACCACTGATATGATTCATTAAAATCAAGAATCAACTGCCTCAAAGGCTACAACGTCAGCTACCCTTTGTGGTAGAACATTACAATCAAAATGAGTTTCCTCAGAAACTGAAACTAGATGAGCAAACACATGAGCTTGGGACAACAACAAAGCATACAAATCCTCCTTCAACATATCCGAACAAACTAGAGAATCCTGTCGCATCGTATGTGTCTGACGCATACGAGTCGTTTCCAAGAGTGAACTTCTTGTTGTTATCCTACTCCACCAAGCAAACGACCCCTTAGTAATGACTAATTAGGATGAAATGAGTTGTTTGCTAGCTCGAGCCAAAATTTTGATCGAAATGATGAGCCAAAACTCAATAAATGAGTTGGGTCATGTTCGGATCGTATTAGCTCGTTCATAAAAGAGTCGAGCATGAGTCGGCTTGGCTCATAAAATGGACCATATTTTTTTGGAGTGACATGATAATACACCATCTACTTGTCAATTTTCTGGCTTATTAAAAGGTGTTTACTTTTCACTTGACTTCTATAGCCAAAAGTAACCGACAAACGACCCCTTAGTAATGACTAATTAGGGTGAATCTTAGAGCCATTTTTTAAAAGTTTCATTATCTCCTTTCCCATTTTAATTTCTCACCGTATGAAAAAGGAAAAAGAAATTCAAAAAGTGCAGGAGGGAACATTTGGAGCCTCTTTTTTCATTTTTCCGTAAAATTTCCCTCTCTCAACGATTTTAGTTTTCCACCCTATGAAAAAAATAAAAATATTGCCAACCCAACTTTACCTTTCTGACTTCCTTCTCTTCATTTCGTTCTTTCACCTTGCTTGTTCGTCAACCGGCCGGAGTGGAACCAAACCCTTCCCACAATCGTCAATTCGTTCCTTCTCCTTCTCATAATCAGATATTGTAATCTCAGCCAAAGGTCGGGTTGTCGATTTTAGTTTTGGGTTCTCTTCCCATCGACGGCAGCGCTGCTGCATGCGAGTCCTGATGGAGGTATGTTCTAAATTCTCTGTCCTTTCTCTCATTTGTGTTGGTCTATCACTAATTTGGAGTTTTGACAGAATAGCCTTTGTACCAACGCGGAGTGAAGTTCTCGGTTCCTCAATTGTCCATCGATGAGGATTGTAATCAGATCCAATGAATCAAGCGGTCCATTCAATTTTTTTCGTCTCTACTCTTGATTTGATTATAGGCTCGATGATTTTTGTTTCTGACCTCAATTAATTTCCATTGGCAAGCTGTTCGGATTGTAATCAAAGCGTTCAGAGTGGTATGAGACCTGTGGCTGTGGTTGTTGCTCGGTTTTGCTCTGTGCTCGGTTTTGACCTCTGGTTCGTTCTTCTTCTTAGTGCTTAGTGTTTAGTTCCAAGCTAGATATTTTTCAATACAGAGTGTTTTGCGTGTGTGCACATGTGGTTGAAGACATTGTATCTGAATATTGGTTACTGACTATAGACCTGTTGTGCAGGCATGTGGAGCTAAATAACATGTTGAAAAGGAGTTGTTAAATGAGACTGATGTTTATGATGTTGTGGTTGCACTTGTTAAGCTAGCTAGAAAGGTATCTTGTTCCTCTTATACTTCATAATGTTCAGTTTGTAGTTTATAATTGGTTCAAATCATAATGTCTAAATTGGAATTTTTGGATTTGGCACTCCTTATGTTTCCTTCTTTGGCTAGATGGGCGTGCAGTGGTTTTCCAAGAAGAGGACAGATGGGCCACTCCGCTTATGCACACCGGTAAGTTTCAAGTATACCCTTTCTTGGTTTGCTAGGTCTTAATGAAAACAAGAATAATGAACTGAACACAAAAAAAATCTGGACCAGCAAAAGTAGAGGCATACATTGTTGATTGGAAAAGCAGTTTAATGAACCTAAAACATGAACAACCATGACCAGTAAGTATGAAAATACCCAACAAAACATCATAACGTCCTCCAATCAAATATCCTAACTCGTCCATAGAGTATCAAACAAATGGCCAGATTCGAAATGTGTCTCCGGTTATTAGAATCCATGCCAATCTTTTCAAATAGCCTTCTTGCTGCTCCTCAGGCCTTCCCTTCTAGTACATGGCTTCTTCTGCAACATTGAATATACGCAGTTTAGTTCCAACGAAAATAATTGTTTCCCAAAAGTATTCTAGACATGCACAATGAACTTCTAATATTACAGTTGGTGGATCAGGGATGTCGGTTGTATCAACATCCTCTTCAGTATCCTCCTCTGATAACTCTGGACAAATTCTGGCATTATGAGTATCCTTCCCACATTTACTGCAATGTTTTGGTTTTCTGCCAATTTGTGGTGCTTGCTGGTCAGCTCCGTTGTTGGCGACGTTTTCACTATTTGGTTCTTCATTATTTGGTACTGTGTGGCCAGCAGCTCCATCATTAGTTTCTGTATCAGTAGGTTCTGGTATTGTAGGCCTCACATACCCAGGAGGCTTCTTACAAGTGCTTTTTTTATGACCTAATACGCCACATCTGCTACACATTCGTTGCTCCCCTTTCTTCCTTTTGTTTTCTTGTCCACCCGAACCTTTGTATTTCACAGGATGTGGATCCAAAAGTTTCTCTTTTGGATTTGGTCTATTGATATCTGGGATCTCATCACCTTCGTTCATCATGTCTAGCGATTCACATAGGGATGCAATTCCTGTACGAGCAAGGTTGAAGCTTTCGCTTGATTTTGCCCCTTTTAACCATAACTGGGAGCTGCTTTGTTGAAGAAGCCCATATCTGAAAACTACAGTCAATATTATTCTATTAAAACGTCACGAAAAAGTGAAAGCTTATGTTCTAAAACGAGTCAACGCCCTCTGGTACCACCTTAGTATTTAATAAACACCTCTGAACTGCTTTCTTAAACACAGTAACACACAATTACCAGCTTTATACAGTAACTACGAACCTGAATTTGAATAGTCTAGCCTCGTCCATATTGTGTGGTTGTTGTAAGCTATAAAGTGTCTTCGGCTTCTTTGACCACCTTAACTTTACCAACCGTTCTGGAAGTTCCAGCATACCCTCTTCTTTCAGTAGATGAACCATATGAGCGCATGGTATTCCCATAGAGTACACTCCATAGCGAATGGCTCAATTGTGTATGTGACCTGAAAAACCTTTTGTTTACTTGACATTGTCACTCTGTAAATACGTTGGTTTTCCGATATCTCTGAATCCATCCTTACACAAGCTCCCGACTTTTCAACCTCATCTCTGAATTTGAAAAAGGCTTCTTTTGTGAATAATTTAGACGCACTCTTCTGAAGTGAGACTAATATATTGGACGTTATTGTCCGTTCACGATGGATGGACTCAAAATCAGCTTGTTGCTCCATCTCCCTCATATCCCTAGCCCAACGATCAAAATGAATAAAGAACTCAAGTAGATTATGATTGTTTTCGATATACTTGGTAAGCTGAGAGTTCATTCCTTCACATCTAGACGTTGTTGACAAGCCCGCAAAGAACTTTGAGCGCAAGTATGTATACCCCCATTCAGTTCTTTGGTCAAATAGATGTGAAACCCAATTGTTATGCTGCTGTGAGCACTCCTCGACCATTGTTTTCCACTTATCTTCAATTACTGAAGGTTCCCAATCAGCTGACACGAAATGTTTCCATTGTGGCAAGAAGTTAGGATTGTCCCTCACTTTTCTGGCAATAGTTTTGTCTATGTGCCAAGCACATAAACGATGTCTCGCATCGGGGAATACTTGTTGAATCGCATTGCGCATGGCTTTATCTCCATCTGTAACAACAGTTTTAGGATCTACACCGCCCAACCTTCTCCTCAAGGCATCTAGAACCCATACATAGTTTTCTTCTTTCTCATTTGCCAAAAATGAATATCCAAATATGCAACTGTTGAAGTGGTGGTTCACACCTAAAAAATAAACAGGTTATTAAAATTACTTCACTAATAAGACAAGAATTACACTGTACCCATAACGCATGGAAGTGATATTGCATTAGGCTCTTTAACGTGTGGTATTAAGTTTCAATGAATAAATACTTTATAATTTATAGGAATGAAAATATAAGTTACTATGAACCGAAAATAAAAGAATTAGTACCTGAAAAAATTACTAGAGGCATATTGTAGACGTTCTTTTAGTAAGTCGCATCGAAAGCCAATAATTCTCCAAAGCATGCATAATCAGCCACTGAAATACTATCTGCCCAGAACAAGTTAACAAGCCTGTCTTCATCGTCTTTTTTTAGCTCAATTACGAACTGTTCATCCGCACTTAGTTTCGCATGTAGGTAAGCTAGTGCTGCCGCAGCATCACCATCACTAATCTGTTCCTTCCGATCTTTGTCCACGTAATTATACGCATCTTTCCTCGTGAACCCCATCTTGCTATAGCCTCCTGCCTCTGCAACCGCTAGTGAAACAATCTGTGATGTTTTCATTCCTGCAGCTCTCCGGAAATTGATTGCTGCTTTAACTGCATCACTCAACTGTCGATTCCCTTTCATATAGTGTCGGTATTTTTTTGGAACCGTTACGTGAGAGTGCACGTTATGAAAGATATCCACAAACCACTTCCCATCTGACTTGTCTAGTCGTACACGAATCCTAGCTTTGCAGTCAAATCTCGTCTCTCCTTTTGGTTCCCTCTTTCGTTCACCCTTTCGGTCGCGCTTTGTTCCTTGACCAGAACATACAAACCGACGCCATATCATGACCTTGTCTTTATCTCGGCCAATATCTTCTTTCCTGACGTCAAAGCCGGTGACCAGCCCATAGTTCCTCCAAAAATCATAGGCTTCTTCAGTGTTAGCGAATCTTAGCTTCTCGATATCTTCTTGCTGTAGAAGTAAGAGATCCGCAAGATCATCATCTTCTACCTCTGAACTTTGGTGAACGTTGTGAATAGTTGAACCATTACTGTTGTTAATATCTTCATTGTTTTCCACTTCCACGATTTCATCGTCTTCCATGATCATCGCGCTTGTGATTGTCCAAGCCAACTAACCCTAAGTAGCCAAAGTAGTACTAAGGAACTAGCCTCTCCGCTGGCGCTTCACTATGAAAAACCTAAAGGATGTTGTATATAAGCTGTGAAATTAAATCCTTGTTTTTAACAGAACAATTTGGGTCAAAACATCCATGGGCTGGACTGAATTCGTTTGGCCTATTTAAATAAAACTAGTGGGCCTAAATAACCTCCTTGGTTCGCATAACCAAGCCTGTCGTCCCTCAAATGGAGGACACCTACTCCAAAAGCATCAATTGCACCAGGTGGCCCCTCCAAAGAAGCACACCTGTCACCAAAAGCATCATTCATATATGAAAATCCTATCACCATTTACTCTGCCCTTTGTCATTGGTTGTAGGAGATTGTATGTTGATAAGATTTTATCCCCTTACATCCTATATAAACCGCAGTCCCCTCTTCCTTCAAAATCATGGAAGCAACAAATGAAACTTGAAATTACTTAAAGTTCTTCCTCCAACCTTATTTGCATCAAGTTACGGTAATGAGGAGAACTCCAAGTGGCTAAAGAGTTTCCCAACATTCAATCATGTTTGTGAGTTTGCCATGTATAGATGGGAAACTCTTTGGCCATTTGGATGTTTTTCTCATTGCATTGTAAGAAGTTATTATTTGTACAGGAGGTTGAGGATGTGGATCCCGGATTTCTTCTTTGTTGTTGAGTTTGAGTCTTTGTCTTCGTTTTTCATTTTTATATTTCCTGTGTTCATTTACATTTCCGCTACTGCCTTGTGTTCTTATTCATACTCCGTTCTTGTGTTTATATTTCTGGGTTTCACTGCTTACTCTATTTTCCGGTTTTGGAACGAAGAAAGAAACAGAGCTTTGGTGCTCTGCCGCGGGAAGCCTAGATCACTCTTAATTGATTAGTTGAAAATGGGCCAAACGTGAATTCATAAACTGGCGGAGCCACAACCAACCAAGGGAGGTTAAACTAGCATCGTCTTCTTCCCTTCTTCCATCTGCTTTCGTGTTCTTGTCTTTTCGAACCTTAAAACCCTAAAATGAAGCCCCTAATCGGTTTAATGAGGTGGATAAATATAGAAGTTCACACGTAACTAGTTAATTCCTTATTAAGTTCATTTAATGAGGTGGATAAATATAGAAGTTCCCACATATAAAAAAACTCTAATTGATATCTCACGGGTTTTCCTAATACACAAGGTTAAACACCCCTCTGGCGCATCTATTAATATGGCCAAACATCTTGCCCAAAACTCATTCAACTAAAAGTAGCGCAGAGGCCCTTTGGTCAACATTGTGTCTGTAACATTATGGGGAAGGAAGGGTAAGTTCTGCAATCCGCTAATGTGTTTTCTTTAACTTTTTAGTCAGCTATTTCGTTGTATTTGTTCTTATATTCCACTCTCTCATTGCTTTTTTGTACAATTATATTAGGGAGAAGAACAAGATGACGAGCGGCCAGTCTACTGTACACCTAACGCGTTCTCTAGCCAAGTCTATGGTTCGTCCAGGAGCTTTAACAGTAGGTTATTTATACAAAACTTATTCTGACTTGATTGTTCATTATTGTAGGAATTGGAGAACTATGTATCTCCTGCAAAGAAAACAAGAATGCAAGACGTCATCCCCCCACCTACACCCGACTCGAAGGTGATTGTTCTTGATGGTGAACCAGGGTTGGACCATTATGAGCTAGGTGTGCAAAACAAACCCCCCCACGCCTCCACAAAAATTGTCAATGAAGGTGTGTAATCCTAGTGATGTCCATATGCTTCCTTTTCGCCCACTATTTTCATTGTTTTCCTTCATTCCTTTCTCCGCCACTTGACTTCTATTTTTTCTTTAATTAATTATATATTTTCATATAAAATGTAAAACCTAAAACTCAAGAAAACCTCTTCTTATTTCCTCTATTTGTTCGTTCTCCATGATTGAAGGGTACCGCAAGGTTTGAGCTCCCTACAGCCGCCAACTACAGTGACGACGAAGTGAGTTATGCTCACTATATATTTGCAGAAGACCTTCCTCCTGATGAAGCTTTGGTCAAAACAATGATGAAATCATATACCAGGCAGACATTATGGAGCTTATGCCCCGAGTCAAGCGTTGATGTTGATGTAAGTACTTCTGCGAAACGCCCCTAGTTGACCTGAACGTGCTTAACGATTTTTAATCATTGGATTTTATTTCTATTGTGTTTTAGGTAATTACAGCGTTAGCAAGCCACTTGACCTTGGACGAAGTTAAAAGAGATACTGGTCGTGGAAGAGGAGTGTGCTTTCTGCCTACGGAATTGCAGGTAAGTGTTGCTTTTGCTTTTGTAATTCTAATTCAGGTTACACAGGGTTGGTTGTTTATTAAGTAAGATTAGTGTTCAATGATTTAACTTCATTTTCCTACCAGGATATGGTCGTTAATTATGGCATGACATCTGCAAAGGCATTAGAGTTATATGATACAAAATTCCTATCAAAAGCGCATAACTGTAGAAAGGTTATGACTTCTCCACAATTCTTCCTTCTCATTTCTGCTTATTTAGTAGCGGTTTTCACAACATATGTGTGCGTGAATTATGCCTGCCCTTCTGCTTAATTTCTTGAATGAATTATGTCGGAAAACTAATTAGTTAATTGGATTGTTTTCTCGTACCTGTGAAGGTTTGTCTTCCCATGAAAGATATGAGGAATGATGAAGGCATCCACTGGTATTTAGCTATAATTTTGATGGACCAGAAACAAGTACACATTCTGGATTCATGCCCATCAAAAGAGCGCCAAACAATCCGTACGAATGCAGTTCACACAATGGTATAGTTAAAATTTGTGCCATTGAATTCATACTTCAATACACGTGTTTGTAATTCAATTTGTGGCATTATATTTTCCAACAAAATTTTTTAATTCGTAGGTTACTTTTTGAACGTTGTAGATTGAATTTCTGAACGACTTGTTCGATGCCTTACACAAGGAAGTTCAATAAACATGTGCACCACTACAGATTAAGGAGTTTTCTTTGACCACTCCTAAAGTTCCTACACAACGACACAAGTAAGAATGTATATTTGGTCATAATTTCACTAGAAAAATAAAATATTTGTGTCTTACGTAATGCATCTTTCTAAACAGGAATGATAGTGGGATATGGGTTTGTGTGTGGATGATGGGATCAACATGGGATGATAACTATTATATTTGGGTAAGAAATCACCTACTACCTAGGCCCATTTATTTCTACGAGCACATTAAAAAAACTATGTCAACTATTGTATTAATACGTTATATTTTCTGTCCTTACAGCCATGCAATCATTTGAGAAGAATGCAGGTGGCATTGTACCTAGTCAAAGAGCCTACCAATTACATAAGACACAATGTGCTCAAGAAAGCAAATTAGAATGCGCCTAGGTTTGAAGCTCGGACACTTGAGTACAAAATAGCTTCCTAAGAGAGGAAAGCAGGTTCCCAGAATAGGCTAATTCAGGAAAGCAGCTTCCCAGAAGAGGCGAATTCAGGGCTCAAGGATATCTAGTCGCATAGTGTGTTCTGCTAAAACATTTTAGCATTTAGTTTTGTTTCTTCCTTTCCAACGAATGCCCTCTTTATGGTAACGATTTAAGGACACGTTTATTATTTGGCAGATAGATTGCAAGTTTTGGTGTGCTTTTTTATTTATTAGAGGGAGGCTAGGAGATCAGCCGAATAAACACAAGTACACAGCCAGAGGCTAGTTTGCCAAACAGAAATGGAACCGCTACAGTAATCTCACATTGCAGACAGATAGCCAAAATAGCAGCAACAGAAACAGCCACCTCTGAGATTCGCATAAAAACTAATAGAGATAAACTGGCCAGATTACTTGCCTCGGGAAACTTATTCCCATCACGTCTTCACGAAGTAACCCATCAAAATTTGCTGGAGGATCGTCCAACAACCAGCCCAATCAAGTGGACCCTTAAACCATTTTTCAATAAAGATGGAAGAACCCGAAACATGATTAAAAGCATGACTAGTGAAGAATGTGGCTAAAATTGAATTAGGAACTTATAGTCATTTCTCGTGGTGACTAAAATGAAAGAGGTCACATATCGTCCATTCAAATAATATTTGTCTGATCTCAACCAAACTTGAGTTGCTCCCCCCTATAAATGTAATCACCCTCTTGTTTCTTCATATCTTCTTCAGACAACTTATCAATTGTGCTAAACATGAAACTATCAAGATCGACTTCCTTGTTCCTCGGATCCATTCTGACATGGAAAAAGAAAACCACCAAACAAGCTCCTCAACATATCATGTCAAAGACTACTGAAAGAATGGACCAAAAACACACATGATCCTGGAAAGGGACATCTTAAGCACCTAATTCCGATACACATTAACTCGGTTTATCATCAATGCATAAAACCGTCACCACAATTCGTCAAAACCCTTACCTTGTCAAAGTTAACCACGAAGATAGAAGCAGGACTGGGCCTGTCGGGGTCTCTGTTTAGTTCGAACCCCACGGTTTCAGTGTAAAAAAATATAGGAATAGAATTTTTGAAATACAGACTCCACAACTGTAGCCTCCGCTTCAAACAACGAGACCTCTCTTCCGAAATCAGTCTACAATACACCTCATCCATATCAGAGATCCATCCAAAATCACAGCATTGTAGTTCGAAAATCAATTTCGGCAATTTCAATTCAAAATCCCTTTCTCACCTCCCTAGCAGTTCCTGAAGGAACCATGGCCTCTTTCATTGCCTTCTCCAGTGCAATCATCTCCGCCTGCCCAGCTGTTTGCACAAGTGAATTACTCATACAAGCAACAATTAGTTTTCATTCAAAGGGATGGGGGTGCTTATGCTTGCACAGCTTGACGCCGAGATTACCTGCGATATTCGGCCAGTTTAGGGTTCAAACAATCGATTGGGAGGAATCATAGGACAGGTGGGAAATATGACAGTTGAGAACGGGAAAACGAAGAAGAATAAGAGGGGGAAACAGAGTGGTTCAATTATCGCTGCCATTTTCTGAGATGGCTGGGATGATTTACAGGAGTAGGGAGGAAGAACAGGGTTATTC